CTTCATTTGGTGCTTAGTGTTCTAGGACTGACGTTTGTATTTGTTTTAGTTTTTCAGGTCTTTGTTGCAGAGGGACACCATGGTATGTCTGTCTAGGGTGCCATGTTTGCTCCACCTCAAGTTTCTTTTGGGAATATACTTAGCTCAATTGCTAGGTCATAGTGTATGCACATGTTCAAATTTATTGTACTGTCAAACTGTCCTTCAAAGTAATTATACCAATTCACATTTCCACCAAAAGTGTTTTAGAGTTCCCATTTTACCATCTCCTCAACAAAGTTTGGTACTGTCAAACTTGTTTTGATAATATGATGGTATTTCATGGTTTTACTTTGCCCAATTATTAATGTAACTGAGTATCTTTTCATGTTTACTGATGATTCAAATGTTCTCTTTGGTAGAGTACCATACCAAGTACTTTACCCATTCTTCTACTGTCTTGTTTGTCTTTTTATTACTTATCCTTGGGTATTCTTTACGTTCTGGATACTAATCCTTCCTAAGATTCTTTTATCACTATGATGTGTATAGATAAAGATTTTTCATTGATCCTGCTTGAGATTTGTTAGGATACTTGATTCTGTGGAGTGTCATCTTTAATCAGTTCTGGAACATTCTTGGGCATTACTTCTTTAAATTATTTCATCCCTATTCTCATGCTCTTTCTAAATCTATAATTAGATATATACTAGAATGTCTCATACTACCCTTCGTGACTCAACTTCTCTTTTATATTTTCCTCTGTGCTGCATTCTGTATAACTTTTTCATATCTTTCAGTTTACTCATTTTCTCTTTAGTTGTTTCTAATCTGCTATTAAAATCTTATCTAAAGTTCCTGTAGGTCTCCTTCTGTTGTTGATTGTTTCAGTAGGTTATTGCTCAAGTTGCCTTGTGTCCTTGTTTACTTGTTTTTGACTGCTCATTTTCCTTAGAATTTAATTTATATATATGAAGCCTGGGATGAAGTTAGGTTCCTCCAGAGAGTATATGCATTTGCTTTTGCCAGAAACCTAAGGTACTTCCTAGTCCTAAATTAGTTTCTTGACTTACAGTTTTTCAGAACACACAGGTATTGAATTTAGGCTGTAAACGTGGGTGAGGGATGACTTGTGATTCCAGATTTTCATCCGTATTTTTTTCCTCTCTCCATTCAGTGCCTTGGTTCAAGTCAGGTAATTTTCCTTGCAGTTCCCTAGGGGCAGAGACAGGAGCAGGAGCAGGTAGGAGGAAGAAGGGGGGTATTTCTGGCTTACCCTTACAGTGAAGTTACAGTTCTTTGGGATTCCAGAATTATGGGGAGGATCTCATATCAGACTTCTCTCCATGAGCAGTCCCAGGGCTTTGTCTTCAGTACCCCATGCCCAAAAAATCCATTACCACTGAGTAGATTCTGACTCATAGCAACCCTGTAGGACAGGGCAGAACTGCCCTATAGGGTTTACAAGG